TCTTTTGGGTAGATACCTAGGAGTGGGATTGCTGGGTCATAGGGAAGCTCCATGTTTAGCAGTTTGAGAAACTTCCAAACAGTTTTCCATAGCAGTTGTACTAGTTTGCATTCCCACCAGCAGTGCAGGAGAGTTCCTTTTTCTCCACATCCTCGCCAACATTTGTACTATAGGCTTGATTTTTTAAAAAGATTTATTAATGCATATAGAACTGGGTTACAGGTCAGAGGTACAGGTGTGATTAGAGGAGTCCCCAGAGACAGAGTGGGGAGCAGAACAGGCAGGCTGATGAAGTACAGTGCCTAGGAGAGCAGCAGGTGAGACAGGAGAGGTCTGCCACACCATGTGGTTCACCTCCCAGCTGGGGATAGAACTCACACTGAAGTGGCTGCAGCCAGCTTGCAGTGCTGCATCCTAACCTGTTGTGTTGCCAGGGAGGGCCTGGCTTAATATTTTCAAGTCTCACTTCTTGGAATCAATTGTGTATGATAGGTTTAGATTTGAACTAGTTTTGTAGTAGAGAGGTGAGGCAGAGTTTGTGATTCATACAATATACTAATAGTGAGCTGAAAGTAGAACTCCTATTTCCTCTTTTCTACACCAGTCATTTTTTATACACCACTCTGTCGTGTGAACAGAAGGATTTAATCTAAAATTAGCTGTTGCCACCAGATTGAATTTTACCTATATTTTGTTTTTTAAAATAGATTTGTTTATGCCTAGATACTTGTTTTGCATAGAAAAAGTAAATTGTATTTCTAATTAGCTTATTTACATTTCAAATCTCTTTCTTTCTAGTTTTTGGAAGTACCTAGACTTGACAAAGAAAACCCTTTAGAAACTTTGGATGATACAAGCCTGTGGATTCCGCAAAATGAAAATCATGACTCTTGGATAAAGACACTGACTTGTGCTTTTCTGGACAGTGGGGGCACAAAAAGTGAAATTCTTCAATTCTTAAAGCCAATGTGTGAAGTAAGATTTATTAATTTGGCCTAATCCCTTTCTACTTCTGCTTGTTTCCTTATGAGCTTTCTCTTACTAGTTTCTTTGCTCACCCCAACCCATAGCTTCTGTGTATGTGGCCTCTGTCTGCAGTGCACTGGGTGATGGGTGCTCTCCATACAGCATCTCCTCACGTGGTTGTCATGAGTACCTCAGGCAGACCATCTTTTTTAGCCATAACTATAAGCAGTGGGGTTCGGCTCAAAAGTAGCTGCATGGCAGATGGGTCTTCAGGGGAGCCTTGAATAATTTGTCACTATGACAGTTAAAATACTAATGATAGTAAATTCTTTTATTAACCAGAGTCTAACTTTAGTGTATATACTCTTCTCATAAGGTTGGTGTCATTTACTTTCCCTAATAGGCTTTTTTAAAGATTTATTTGTTTATACATACAAGAACTGGGATATAGGCCAGAGATGGGGGAAGGGGGGATGAAAAGAAAGGATTCACTAGAGATAGAGTGGGGAGCAGAATAGGCCGACTGACAAAGTACACTGCTGAGAGGAGCAGCAGGCAGAGACAGGAGAGGTCTGCCGTGCCCTGTGTGTCATCTCCCTGGCTGGGGATTGAACTCATGCTGCAGCGGCTGTGGCTAGCTTCATTGTGCTGTGCCCTAAACACTGCTGTATACACGTGTTTTTTGCTTTTTTTAAAAAAGATTTATTTATTTATGTATACAGAACTGGGTGCAGGGTGGTGAGAGGATTCACCAGAGACAGTGGGGAGCAGAACAAACAGATTGACAAAGTTACACTGCTGAGGGGAGCAGCGGGCGAGTCAGGAGAGGTCTGCTGTGCCATGTGGGTCACCTTCCCAGGGAGGGCCCTACGCATGTGTTTTGTTTATTTTTAGGAGTACATTGAATTTATGACAGGTTCACTTTTCTTTCTGAAAACAATTTTAGTTTCCTAGTGACAAGGAATTGAAATTTTATATAAGGTAGTATCTCCACTCAAATTACTATGTTTGTATATTCTAGGTGAAAAGTGACTTTTGTCAGACCGTGCTTCCATACTTGATTCATGATGTTTTACTCCAAGATACAGATAAATCATGGAGAAATCTGCTTTCTACACACATTCAGGGATTCTTCACCAACTGCTTCAGGCAGTCCTTACAAACAAGTAGATCTACGACCCCTGCAAATTTGGATTCGGGTATTCTGTTAAGTTTTTAGCATGTGGACTCTATGTGTGTGTTTGTGTGTGTATGAAGGGATGTGTGGTGAAAACAAGATTTGTCCATGAATCTTATAATTTAAAAAAAAGATTTATTTATTCATGTATATAAAACAGGGGTACAGACCAGAAGTGCAGGGGTGGTGAGAGGATTCACCAGAGACAGAGTGGGAGCAAAACAGGCAGATTAATGAAGTACATTGCTGAGGGGAGCAATGAATGAGACAGAAGAGGTCTGCTAAGCCATGTGGGTCACCTTCCTGGTAAAGGAGGGTCAAACTCAGAGCTGAGGTGCCTGTGAAATTCTGCGCTTTAACCTGTTGTGCCACCAGGTGGGGCTGAATCTTCAAAATTTTTTTTTTTTTAATAATTTGTATTGTTATCTTCTCAGTTCTGGAGAAAGATAGATTTGTTTGAATCTCATTAAGATGCTTATAGATTTAATTCTATAGTGCCTAAACATCTGTTCTTCATCTGTACAGTAGAGATAAAGGTTATTGTACATTTTCATTGAAATATTGTCAGCAAGGCACCTAGGATAATAATTTTTTCATAGTGCTTCCTTAGTAATGGTGGTAGTTAATATGGAGCAACTAATTGAGCTTTTGGCAAGTACTGCTCTTGGCCAGTAAATAGATGCCACCAAATATTATAGGCACTGTGGTGCAGCGATGATGCAATTTTCATACTAGAGCGCTGGCCAGCTCATTTTTCTTTTTTTAATTAAAAAATCACATTTTTGTAGAAAATATAGAAAAATTGCATAAATTAAAAAAATTACCCACTGTCCTATGATTTAGGATACCTGCACTTAACATTTGGTATGTTTATAGAAACAGTAATTGGTTTATATTTTATATACTCTTACAATCTACTTTCTTTTCATGCTGTGTGGAGAAATTCTACCAAGACACATAACACATATGTGTATAGTTGAGACAGCTAAGGTTTTTTCAGACCTAAATTTTACTTATTTATTTTTAAAAATATTTATTTATTTATTTATACAGAACTGGGGTACAGGCCAGAGGTGTAGGGGCAGTGAGAGGATTCACCAGAGGCAGAATAGGGAGCAGAACAGGCTGACTGACGAAGAACACTGCTGAGGGGAGCAGTGGGTGGGTCAGGAGAGGTCTGCCATGCCATGTGGGTCACCTCCAGAGCAGGGATCGAACTTATGCTGAAGTGACTTTAGTTTCTTAGTGCTGTGCTTTAATCTGCTAGCCACTAGGGAGGTCCTCAAACATAAATTTTAAAAAAGAAAAGTACAGCTTTGTGATGTTAATCTATTGTCTTTAACATACATTATTAATGTATATTGCATGAAAATAAAACTAGGCACATGTTTGCCTTTTGTACTTCAAAATTAGTACAATTTTAAGAAAAGTATTAGTTGTATATCCTATTTTGCTGCAACTAAATTGCTCTTTGCAACTGGACTGTGGTTCCAGTCAGTTGGGGCATCAGTTGTGATTACTTGGTTGGTCTAGTTGTTTCTTTTACTCTACTATTTTATTTGATATAACTTTTTTTTTTTTAAAGATTTGTTTATGCATTCAAGAACTGGGTATAGGCCAGTGGTGCAGGGGGTGAGATTCACCAGAGACAGCATGGGGAGTAGAACAGGCAGACTGATGAAGTACACTGCAGAGGGGAGGAGTGGGGGTGACAGCTGCTGCACCATGTGGGTTGCCTCCCTGGCTGGGATTGAACTCACACTGTAGTGGCTTGGGAGAGCTTCACAGTACTGCACTTTAACCCCTGTGCTGTTAGGGAGGGCCCTGATGTAACTTATTTTGACTTCACTTTGTTCTGCTTGATGTTTTTGTATTATTTTTCTGTTAGCTAACTACAACTGTAAATCTTCTACTTAAGATAATATAATTATAAACACAGACATAGATGCCCTTTCTGTGGTCCTGTTGCATTATAAGGTGGTCATATAAATGATCCAGAATATGCTTACATGAACTTTTTAGGCCATTGAGTAAAAAAAATCCAATATTACTATTCTCATACTTTGCAAATTACTTTGTGTCTCCTACGCTTTTTTGGGAAATACAAGTCTTTGCCAGTAAACACTTAAACCTTAAATATTATATCATTTAAAGTAGTACTGAAAACAGTTATATTGTGTACCAATCATAACATAATCATTGCCTGTGATAAACCAACAATTTGTTATCATGAAAATGGCTGAGATTCTTTTCCATTTGTTCATATAACTTTATGCTACAACCACTCAAGTGTAAAAATCAGCCAGTATAGAGTGTAGATACTTTTATTGCCTTAAAGAAAAAATTTAAATTTCACATGTTAAAATTCTTTTATAAAAGAATAGTAAATTGGATTTCCATCACATTAAAGGGTTTATCTTCTTTTGAGTTCTGTAAGTTTCACTCCTTCACTTGCATGCCCATATACATCTTTAACTCAACTGTAAGAAGCTATACTTATCTTCTTCTGCCCCTGCCCTTGGCATCCAGTCACCCAAGCCAGAAACCTCTTGCTTATCTCATGTTCTGCCAGTTCTGTTTTACAAACCACATCAGTACATCTGTTTCCCCTGTCCCTGGCATCCTGCTTTCCAGCTCCCTGCTGCAGCACAACTGGAATTCTTTCAGGAAATTCTACAGAATCTCTCCTTGTTCTTGCCTACTCACAGAGTGTTGCTGTCACCTGAAACTCTGTTCTTCCTCTTTCTGATGGCCCTTTACTTTCAAGGTCCACTTTTCCTGGAAGCTTCTCTTGTTTGAATTAGGTTACTGTCTAACTGCCTCTGCGGCATTCTAAACTTTCCTCCCGCGGCATTCTCACAACTACTTCAAGAGTCTCTCCATGGAATTCCCTCCACCAATTCGCTTGTGTGCCACTATCATAGTCCCTTTTCTTTTTTTTTTTTTTAAGAAAATGCCATTTACAAGTCATGTTTATTTATTCAGAACTGATTCTACGCTAGGTACTAGAACCACTTTATAGTGTAGAGGAAGACAGACTGGAGGAAGGGAGGAAGTCTTAAACCATTCTGACCATTACTGAGAGTCAGTATCTTCGATTTCTTTTCAGAGTCAGAGCATGTTCCCCGATGCTGTTTGGATAAAAAATCACAAAGAACAATGCTTGCTGTTGTGGACTACTTGAGGAGACAAAAGAGGTAATATGACTAATGCTCTTGAGTTTAGAGATAGAAGTGTAACTTATTACTACTGGCTGGATGCTTACATAATTACTTTAGGTGATGCCTCTCTAAGGTGCTGTATTTCATTTGGGTGATGCTTATTTGTCCTTATTAATAATACATATTCAGGATGGCAAATATGATGTAACTTTGATTACATCAGTGTCAGAAACTCTGAACCCTGTCCTCACTGTACCAGTAAAGTGCTATTTTTGAAACCATGCATTCTTTGAGCCTTTAGTTTATTTCATCTACAAAGTGATAGGGGCACAATAAGTATGTTTCCAGTATTATTTTTATTTTTTTCCTTTTTAAAAAAAGATTTATTTATTTATGCATATAGAACTGGGGTATAGGCCAGAGGTGCAAAGGTGGTTAGAGGATTCACCAGAGATAGTGTGGGGGGCATAATAGGCAGATAGATGAAGTACACTACTGAGGGGAGCAGCAGGTGAGACAGGAGAGGTCTGCTGTGCCATGTGGGTCACACTCACACTGAAGTGGAGTGGGGCGGCTGAGACTAGCTAATAGTGCTGAGCTTTAACCCATTGCACCATCACAGAGGGTCCTTCCAGGGTTACTTTGAGTTATATTGTCCTTCTTTTAACTTATTCTCTACTTTTTAACTCACAAGAGTAACTAGAGTTATATACAAGTTCCCTTTTTGTGTTTTTATTTTTTTGAAGACCTTGGTCCTCAAATCTGTGATTCTGTACAGTAGCACTGTGTAAGGCAGTGTTTTAGATTCTGAGATTTTCTAAATTCTGAGAAATTATAGTAGGCTTCTAGATTCTTATTGTTTCTCATGAAATTCAAGGCAGGAATTGCTAGAGTGGGATGTTGGCTGATCGAGATGTCCAGAGTTGACTTTGAAGAAAATGTTGTAGGCCTAATTAGCACTTGAATAGGTAAGAACTAATGTCTACTGTATATGGTGGTGGTACAGTGGTTGATAAAGAATGGGAGACAAATGAAAAGTTATTTAAGTGAATCTACATCTTAATTAATTCCTCTGTATCCCCTCCTAAATTTCACTTCACTCTTAGATAAGTGATAGGCCTTTCAGTTTCTCTGTTCCTGGTTAGAAAATTACTGATTCAACTATTGTACCAGATCCACATCTGAGAAAGCCCATGAGATTCTCTGGCTATACCTGAAAGCATCTCTTCCCTTGGTGTTGGGAGACAGTTTCATCTTTAAATTATTCATTTATTTTTGATTTATCATTTAGACAGAATGGTGTTGACAGTAGTACGCCTTGGAAATAATAAAAATTGTTAACAATCAGTTTTCATTCTGAATATGACCTTAAAGAAGAAAATATGAATGGGATAGAGAATAAAGGGTATGAGTTCAGGTCCAAGACTGGCATTTAGTACTTTGTGATCTCTGAACTTGAAGCTCCTCAAAATATCTACAATTTAAATGTATGCTACGTGATAGGTATTGTCTCATCAGTTTTATAAACATTATTTAATCACTATAGCTGTTGTCGGTGGTATGTACTGTTCTCAGGCTTTATAAATGAAGAAACTACTTTGGAAGTTACCAAAGATCTTGCAGCTTGAAGTAGCTTATCCAACGGGAGTTGAACTTAACCTGTATCTTACTCTAAATCTTGTGTTCTCAACCACTACTTTGTCATTTTTCTATTTAATTTTCCAAAATAGAGTATCTATGATCCCTTCCAATTCTCCTTTACTGTTATTAACGTGAAAGGTTTTTATTAAATAACTCAACCTAGGCAATAAACTAAGGAGACTATGAGCTGCAATTGGAAAGATAGATAATTTTGTGTCTTAGAAAAATATTATTTTCATTAAGTTGGTCATCTAAAAAGATCTCTGTGTGTGTGTATTACTGGCTGTTCTCTGCCACCTAGTTTTAGCCTGCAATCCTTGAGCCCCTCCCTTCATGTAAAGGTAGTACAAATACCAAAATTTGTATGGAATGATGGTCTATAGCTTTCATCTAAGGGGCTTCTGATCAAAATAAAGTGAGTAAGTGGGCTTGTAGGGTTTTGATTATTTGAAGGCAATTTTCTATTTAACTAGCCCTAGCTGCTATTGTCTTGCGTATTAATCTGCTTTTATTTTGATACTGAAATTAAAGAACTGGGCATGCTAAATGTTTAATTTTTCTTCAGACCTTTTTCAGGAACTGTCTTTGATGATGCCTTCTGGCTGGAGTTGAATTATCTAGAGGTTGCTAAGGTAGCTCAGTCTTGTGCTGCTCACTTCACAGCATTATTCTATGCAGAAATTTACGCAGATAGGAAAAGTATGGATGATCAAGATAAAAGGTAATGGAATTTTTGGTTTTGAAAATTGGTGATATTTTTCGGTAAATATTAAAGATTTATTTTTGTTTCCACTGCCCATTTAAAACATTTTTTGAATTTTAAAATAAAATGGTTATTATCAGAATGTTGTCAATACATTTTGTCAAGCCAGGTCACCTTGGTGCCACCCTTCAATTCTCTCTCCAGGAGGTAAATGGTACCATATCTTTTGTGTATACATCCCTTAAATGTTATTTTGTCATTTGCTTATGAATGCACACATATTAGTTTTCTTATTTTTGAACTTTATAAGAAATTATGTGTGTGCCTTTCTGCAACTTGTTTTTCTACTCAGTATTTTTTGTAAGATTAATCTAAGCAGTGTTTTGCTGTGGTTCATTAATATATCACTGCCTCATGACAGTAGGAGACTGTGCCAGAACAGATTTATCCATTCCCCTATTGATGATAATATATGTGTAGAATTACTGGGTTGCAAGGCATGCAGATTTTCAACTGCTGTGCCAAATTGGTTTTTAAAGTGGTCATACCAATTTGAATATATCTCAGAAATATAATTTGCAAGGAAGTAGATCAGGAAGAATCTTTGCATTTGAAGAAAGGCGCTAAAGTACTTTTAGTTTGAATAAAAAAAGTAAAGAAGGAACTGGAGTAAATTTATAGGCATTACCTCTGCTGCTATTGACATTATTTTGTATATTGGATTTTCATTGTTACAACAGCTGGCATGATTTTAGAATTGAAATAACTAATAGGACCGATTCTCTTACGTATAAATGTATACGTAACACCTTGGAGGAGATAAATTGAAATTCTGATCTTCAGTGTCACTTATTAGTTTTATAATGTAGGGTTTCAGTGTTACCTACTAATTCATGTCCTCCATATTTACTGTCATCAGACTTACTGTTTTTTGCCAATTTATCAGGTATTTAGTGTTTCTGAGTATGCTCTTAAAAATTTTTGTGCCTGTGATTATTAATAAGGTTGAACTTCAGGTAAAACTACTGACAGAACATTTAGGGACAGAATTAGAGGGTGTTTGCTCTGTTTTAAACAAGTCTGTCTCTTTATAAATAATTACATTTGAACATATAACCTCCCTATATGTTAGTGCTTGTCATTAAAATGCAATTTTGATTCAGAAGATTAACAGTTACAAACTTCTTTTCATGTAGGCCTCAATGTCATTATGTTTTAAAATAGAAATGGTTCATTATGTTTTATTGGTGACCTTTGTTAGTTGATCTGTCAAAGTCTTCAATGTATGTATCAACAAGCTTCCAAATGGTGTGTTCTCACTAACAGAGTGCTTTTCTGACAAACAGAAATCTTACATTTGAAGAAGGAAGCCAAGATACAACTATTTCTAGTTTAAGTGAAAAAAGTAAAGAAGAAACTGGAATAAGTTTACAGGTAAGTATTACAGATCATGATAATTATTTTATACTTTGGGTTATTATTTTGTTATAAAGATTATACAGGTATTATTGGGTTTTCAAATTAAAGTTACTTTTTGGATGATCATATATAATACAAAACTTTGAGTATCAAACCATATTTATCCATATTACATTTTACCAATCGTAACAATGCATACAATGCATTTTAGTTTTTTTTTTTTTTTAATGTTTATTTATACATACAAGAACTGGGGTATAGGCTAGAGGTATGGGGCATGAGAGGATTCACCAGAGACAGAGCAGGGAGCAGAACCAGTGGATCTTCTGAAATATACTACAGGGGGAGCAGTGGGAAAGAGGATATGGGTTACTATGTGTGTTAGCTCGCTGGCCAGGGATTGAATTTGTGCTGCAGTAGCTGCAGATAACTTCATAGTGCTGAGCCATAACCCTTTGCACCACCCAGGAGGCCCCGTTTTAGGTTTCTTTCAAAGAGTTGAAAGTTTTGAACTATATTCAGTTTTCAGAAGTCAGGTTTTACACAACTTCATTTTCCCACATGTGGTTTTAACTGTTGACAGGATTGTTTGCTTTGTTGTTGTGGTTATATTTGTAGGTATAAAATGCCTAGTAGGTTGGGATTTATTTCTTCTAATTTATGAAGTTGTAAGCAGTTCTTGGTAGTCTACAATTATTCTATTTCCTGTGACCAGTTTTTTATGTTACTGAGCCAGTGTTAGTATGCATGTCAGTAACACATTTTACGTTTATAACCTAGCATTTAATGTTGGGTGTTACATGTTGGTAATGACAGAATTTTAGACTTGCTAAGTCCATAAAATGTTATTTCCCCCCTCCAATTTTTGTCATTTTACCTGTTTTCAGGACCTGCTTTTAGAAATCTACAGAAGTATAGGAGAACCAGATAGTCTGTATGGCTGTGGTGGAGGAAAAATGTTACAACCTCTCACTAGGTAAATTGAATTTTTCTAGATGATGATTTAGTAATTCTGTTTATGAAGGACTCACATGCATATGCAACTTAAAGGTTTTTTTGAAATCTTTTCTAGACTGCGAACATATGAACATGAAGCAATGTGGGGAAAAGCCCTAGTAACATATGACCTTGAGACCGCAATTTCCTCTTCAGTCCGCCAAGCAGGAATAATTCAGGTACACTTTTTTTCTGCTTTGGTAAAGCTCTAAAAGTCCAGTGCTGAGGTTATTTCAGGATCACCTTGGAATTTTTACACAAGTCAGATAAATTCTAGAGATATCTCTTTCTAGGCATTGGGCTTGCCATTCTGAGGGGTACCCAGGAAAATCAGACATGCCACTCAAAGAAATTGTAGGATTTTTGATCCTAATCTTGTTAGCTAATGGGAAGGCTCATCCTGACTCTGTACAGTGTGCCTAGGAGTATATTAAGTGTGTCACTGGAAAAATCTCATGTGAACTGTTTCTCTTAGTTTGGACTGTGGTAGTCCCAGAAGCGGTCTGCCTGTACCCAGCTCATGTCCCTTAGCTATTCTTCGAGCAAATATTAGAACCTTTGGAGCTCTGTCTTGGTGTTTTGCAGGGCATATGCTGGACAAACATTTGAGGGACTTAAGATGACCACTAAAATTGTTTAAAATTACCTTTTAGGATTGGTTGCTACTTTTTGTTTCTTTTATCTTTTACTTATTTCCTTTTAAACTCCTACTCAGGCCTTGCAGAATTTGGGACTCTGCCATATTCTGTCTGTCTATTTAAAAGGGCTAGATCATGAAAATAAAGAGTGGTGTGCTGAACTCCAAGAACTTCGTTACCAGGCAGCATGGAGAAACATGCAGTGGGACGACTGTATTTCTGTCAAGTAAGAGGAGCTCTGCTGTTTTTATTGTCATGTCTCCAGTTGTAAACAATATACTCTTTTTATCTTGCTCTATGAATGTAGCAGGAGTAGTGCTTTTGGCTGATGCAGCAAATTAGAGATATGCACATAATGCTTAAATATGATGGCATTTAGACTTAAATTTCACTTCTTCACAAGAGCAACTCCACCCCACCCTTAGGGTATTTTTGAAAATAGAAATATAAAGTGTTCTCTAATGAGAATCTTCTCACTTACTCTTTTTCTGTCTAAAGGAAATTACAGGTATTTTCCTTCCCACCCCATATTGCAGAGGTTTTAGATAGCACTACTATAGGCTGGCTGGTCAATAAATGACTGCTTATCTTTATTGATAAAATATTTTCCTTTATGGGGTGCTTGCTAGCTCAGTTGGAAATATTTTCTCTAGTTAAAAAAATATGTATTCATCGGTAAATCATTATCAGGAAGAGAATGTTTATAACCTCTGTGTAAGGTTACTAGGTTTGTAAGAAAGTCATTTAATGTTATAATGCCCAAAATTATATAAGTGTATATTGGTCTCCACAGAAAATAAGTTTTATTAATAGGAGTGTCTTTCAAATATTAAGTTGTTAGATTGTTATAAAATTAGAGATATGCTTCCATATTTTTAAAACATTAAACTCTATGTACTGGTTCCTGCTTGGCCTCTGTAAATCATCACTATATTTTAGCTACGCCAGGCAAACTTTTCCTACCTGAAGGCCTTTCGTGTATTTTCTCATGTGGCTGATTTCTTGTCATTCAGACTCTAGATCAGTAATGTCACCTCTTCAGACAAATCCATTCTAAGCACTCATCTAAAGTAGCGCACATTTTAATTTTTTTCTGCATGCCTCTTACCACAAGTTGATATCTTTCTTGTTATTGTCTATCTTTTCCAAACAAGAGCATAACTTCATGGGAATGGGAACTGGATCTGACTTGTCCATGTTGGGTCTCTTGTATATCTCAAACTTGGTACCCTATGCCTGGCACATACTAGGTCTTCACTGAGTAAACTTTACAACTAAAAAGAGAGTATATCTAGAACCTAGCAAAATGCATGAGAGATTTACCATTTCTCCTTGAGGAATTGAAGTGACCTCAAAATTCTTTCTATTATGAAAGTCTCTAGAAATATGTTAGGAGAAATCCTAATTTCAAGTTTAAAATTTTGACTTTTACTGAAGTTGCTTATGCATAAATATTATAAGATTCTGGCCTTAAATATATTTTTCTCTTATTTTTTAAAATTACCTCACAGCAATAAAACAGAAGGAATCAGTTACCATGAATCCCTGTTTAATGCTCTACGATCTCTGAGAGATAGAGAATTCTCCACATTTCATGAAATGCTCAAATATGCCAGGTATTATTAAAACAATTATTGTAGCATTTAATGTTGTGAACATTAATGTGTTTTGTGCAAGAAATTTCAGCATAAGGATTTGCAGTGGTGAAGTGACTGTGACATGCAGCAATGGTCAGGTGGGTTTGCTGCTCTTTCCTGCCCACCCTGGACACCACACTCTCTGTTTAATGGTGATGCATGCCTACCAGCGTTAAAACTCCAAGTGCATAAGTGTGGGCCTTGTCCAGTAATGAGCCATTTATAAGTTTTGCATATCTGAAGAACAAAGGTTGATAAATTTTTGTTTTCTGCAACCTTTTTTTTTTTTTTTTTTTTAAGAATCCGGGGTGTGCCTACTTTAACAATTGTCTTCTGTGTATTGCAAAGGCATTTTCCATGCTTTAAGTGCATTATGTTAAAGGATTGTTTAGTCCACACCTGGTAAAAATTGTGTACATACTTTGGTATTTTGTGTTTCGTATGTAAGAGTATGTGTATACATTAGATATTTACTTAAGTTTTTATTTAATACTCTTTTATGTGTTCAAATGTATTCCTTCTGGGACCCCAGGTTAATCTTTACTCTGAACCCTCAAAAAAGTCTTGCTGACTCCATCCTTCTGATTTTCCTCCTGGACTAGGATAATAAGAATTTATATCTTTTCTCCCCTTTTGGTTATGTGGCATTTACATTTCTTAGCATTAGTGTTCTTTTTATTGTGATTGATGCTCAAATACTTAGAGGTGTGTTTGGAGGTACAAGTAGGAGAATACATAAGAAAGTACTTAACTGTAACTTGATCATCAAATATACCATGTTATTTTTGCTTAATGGTAGTGACCTAATAAATACTGCGTTTTATTACAGGAATGGTGTTGCTGCTATTTAAGTGCTTATTATGAACAAGCTGCTTTGTTCAACTCTTTCCAATTTTATACTCTACTCAGAATAATTCTGGAAGTTACAACCTTAGTTTCTAAGGAGGCCAATGATGTGCCCAAAGTGATCCAGCCTTAAGAAACAAAACTGGGATTTAGATCTCAGTCTGTAGAACTGACTTTGTCTCCATTGCGTCATGCTTGTACTTATAAATTACCTATGATGAAAAACTGTTAGGAAGCAAATATGAATGTGTTTTCCTGAAAACTTACTTTTTAGAATGGCTTGTCTTTTCTTCCCCAGGGTGAAGGAAGTGGAAGAGCTATGTAAGGGAAGCCTCGAGTCTGTGTATTCCCTCTACCCCACGCTTAGTAGATTGCAGGCCATTTGCGAGCTTGAAAACATCGGGGAACTTTTCTCAAGGTACATGATTCATAGACTTTAATCCCAGTGTGCAGATATCCTGTTACCAATGGTGACTTTAAAAAAATTAAAGAGATCTGACGTATGTTTCTTAACTTTTGTCAAGATATAAGTTGATTAGTCTAGTGACTAATCAACTGCATTTTTAAATATCTTCAAAGATTTTCTTAGTGAAAATTCAAGTTTTTACCTTTATTTTTGTTGTGTTTTTCTCTCTGCAGTTTTTCCCAGACAAGACTGTTTGTTCATGGTCCCTGCTCCCTGTTGCACTGCACTGCATTAAAGCCACTCACTGTCCACTTGCTGTATGCTACTAGGAGCTCCAAAAAGTAGAGCTCATTCTCTTAGTTACCGCTGTACCTAATGTTTCTCCTGATTCTTAGTAAACATTCATTGATTTTTATATTCAGTGACTGATGAATTTTTGGAGATTGTCTCTTATAGTGGTGAAAGGAGATCTAGAAATTTCTTCTCCAGAAATGATGGAATATGAGATAAAGTAGTCAGTCAGGCTGCTACAGATCTAAGTTTGTACTTTGTGACTCTGAGAAGTCATTAATCTCACTGGGCCTCATTTCCTCACCTCTAAATGGGGGGATTTCTATTTGATGGTCTTTAAGGTCTCTTTTAGCTCTGTCATTGAGAGTCACCATTATTAACAGGAAGAAAAGAGCACGTAAATGACCATGATTACCATACTTTTATTACTTGGAAGTAGAAAGGAAAGCAGAGAAGGAAACTTTAGAGTCAGAAAATAATGACTTTTTTCAAGATTGCATAGCAAAAGACAGCCGTTTATGTGACTTTTCTTAATGGAGAATAAGGAACAATCTGTTTTCTGCTGTCACTAATAAGTACATTGGTAGTGCTCACTGCCAAAAATCCAGGAACATTTTTTCTAAATGAAAGATACCCTCATACCTTTGATGTGTAATTGTAGCTCTTTCTCTGGTGATTATAAGGAAGAGAGGCAGGGGAATAGTTTGATATAATGGTGAATTAATACTTAAGACCCTAGCAACTTATGCTTTGAGCTTATAGTGCTTATACTTGAGAACACTAGTTTTCAATGTGATATGGAGATTCCTGGGGGTTGCCAAGTGACATTCATATTTCCATGAAACCAAAACTTTACAGCTATAAGAAGGTATTGCTTGTTTTTTTTTATGTTTTCATTCTCTCATGAGTCAATTTTTGATGCAGTATTGGCAAAGACAGGCAAATATTCACGTATTTCTCCCTTTTCCAATTATACCATCTGAATGAGGTTAATCTTCACCTAAGTCAATCAGAACATCATATCACAATAAACAAAGCACAAGTAAGGGTGAGAATTCAATTACACTATCAAACCAGACATCAAAGAGATATGCAGAAATGCAAAAACAGTGGTCTTTCACTTGTTCCGTGTGTTTTTCATGAAAAATGTTATTTATATGGAAGCTTTGTTACTGTTATTTTAAAGTAAATTAATAAATATTATATTGTTCTAAATTTTCGTTTCTAGCACAGTAAATAGATGCTAGCACACAAAAGCTCTTTGGGATTTTTAATGACTTGCATGAAGTGTATAGAGTAAAAAGCAGTTTCTGAGATTAAAAAGTTTGAGAACTTCCTGCTCTGCAAATCTGAGTTATTATTTCTCTGGTTATAAAACAGCTAAAAGAATTTCATTTCATAGTTATATCACTTGTCACTTTCTTCGTCTCCCTGCTTATTCTTGATTTCTCTCAATGTAGTAGTCCTGAGTGCTTGGATGGCATTGCCCATTTTGAAGATGCAGGAAGAATACTGCTCACCTAAGCTAATTGCACAATATGCGTCTTCTTTTAGTGTTGTTGCTAAGTGAAACCTTTGCCAGATGCCAGCATGTCCTGCACTGACTGTGATTTCTGAACAGCTAGAGTTAGGCATAGCTTCATGCCTTGGGCCTGGCAGGCACAGTATATAATGGTTTTACTCTATCCGCATGCTGACATACCTGTTTTTATCAGTAAAGTGGGATTAGAGGTGTAGGCATTCTGTACCATAGACTGATAAATGTGTTCTCACTAAAGAAGAATACTTATTTAGAAGGATAGCTCTTTGTGAAGTTGAAAGATATCTTTAAGAAAAACCTTTTTAAATAATAATCACCTGTGACCTCTTTGCTGTGTCTCAAAGGTCTGGTCATTTTGTACTTCTCAAAACTTTGGTCTGTATTTCAGGTGATTTAGAAGTTCCAGTTTGTTACTGCAAAAACACCTCTGTGTGACATCTTACATATCAGTACTTGCATAATAGCAATTATTTTTGCATTTCTCTTGCTCACATAAATTCTATGATTTGACTTTCAGATCAGTCACAAGCAGGCAGCCTTCTGAGGTATACCTAAAGTGGCAGAAACACTCGCAGCTTCTTAAAGACAGTGATTTCAATTTCCAGGAGCCTATCATGGCTCTACGCACAGTCATTTTGGAGATGTTGATGGAGAAGGAAATGGCTCACTCCCAAAGAGAGTGTCTTAAGGAAATTCTTACCAAGCACCTTGTAGAACTCTCTGTACTAGCCCGGACTTTCAAGAACACACAGGTAAAAAGATTTAAAGTCATATAATCTCACCTTTTGATCTTTCTTTATCACACAGGAAACATAAAGCATGAGTGAAAATGACTGTCACTGAGTGACATTGGTGGCTATTAAAATGTTTTATAGCATAATTGTTTAAAATCTTCCATTTGGAATTAGACCTGAGCTTAAGCATTTCACAAGGTAGTTACCTCCTCTGAGTCTCAATTTCCTGATTACAAATGAGAAGTTACTTAACTTGCTACATTGATAACAATTGAGTGATTTTTATATACTGTGTGTATATACATACATATGTTTATGTAAAGACAGACATAGGGCCTAGAGAAGGCAGGTAGAAATATTCTTAAGACACTCCTTAACAGGGCCCTTCCTGGTGGTGGGGTTAAAGCACAGCACTGTGAAGCTGCTTCAGCTATTGCAGTACAAGTTTGATCCCCGGCCAGGGAGGTGACCCCACATGATGCGGCAGGCCTCTCCTGTCTCACCTGCTACTCTCCTCAGCAGTGTATTTCAGTCAAAATTCCTATTCGGTTTCCCATTCTGCCTCTGGTTACTCTTTTCAATCCCTGCACATCTGGCTTGTACCCTAGTTCTGTATGAATAAGTAAATCTTAAAAATTTTTTTAATAAAAAAAGATTTAATTATTTAAGCATACAAGAAATGGTGTGCAGGCCAGAGGTGCAGGGGGGTGAGAGGATTCACCAGAGACAGAGTGGGGAGCCGAACAGGCAGATCAACAAAGTACACTGCTGAGGGGAGCAGTACGCAGGTCAGGAGAGGTCTGCTGTGCCATCTCGGTCACCTCTAGGGTTGGGAATCGAACTCAAACTGAAGCAGCTGTGGCTACCTTGCAGTGATATGTCCTAACCCATTGCACCACCAAGGAAGGCCCCAGTAAATAAATCTTTAAAAAAAAAAAGGCAGTCCCTGACAGTCAAGTCTCAGTGAATGACAGCTTCTGTTTTCGTGATTATTCTTAATGGTAGTAAGTTGTTGTAGTAAAAGTATTTATTCCCATGTGTCATTTCAGCTCCCAGAAAAGGCAATATTTCAAATTAAACAGTATAATTCAGCCAGTCATGGAGTCTCTGAGTGGCAACTAGAGGAAGCACAAGTATTCTGGGCAAAAAAGGAGCAGAGTCTTGCCTTGAATATTCTCAAGCAAATGATCAAGAAGCTGGATGTCTGCTATACAGAGGTATGCTTTTTTATGGACTAAATTTTTATTTACCTATTATAAACAATTACATTGCTTTAAAATGCTTTTAATAAATTTAGTTTTATTTAAGCCACGAAATTACTGAATCTGAATAAGAAATTTTAAAGAGCCTTGAAAAGTAATATTTGAAAAAGAAGTTTGGAAAATATTCATTTTTCCTATTTACAGTTCTGTCAGTCCACCTTGTGGCAAATTGACTTATCTCAATGTTAAACCTTTTAAAAAAACTTCCTATCCAAGTCAAGAGGGGTATGTGGAAAATACACATGAAATTCACACTGAAATTTGAATTTGAAAATTAGAAAATGAAAACAGAAATGCCTGAGGACAACAGAGCAAACAAGTCAGCAATTCAGCTGTCAGTACAAATACTCTGCGCAGATAGTGTGTAAATCAGTTACTGCAAACTTGGTTGCTTCTGCAGCAAATCTCCAGCATACAGTGAACAAAGCAGAGCTCTTGTAGGAATCATTAAGTGTTTAAATTTTGAACACAGTGATGTTTATACTTATTTCAGTGTAGTTTACTTACTATAGTAAATTGTCAGTTTACCTTCCTGTTGTATTAGGCACTTGTAGTTACATCCTTCTTCAGTAGAGGTTTCATCAGTCTACCAAAGCCCCCGGAGTTGATGTGATATGATGTTGACAGACTGTGTAACAATATGTGTGTTGGAGTAAGACTGGCTAGACATACCTGCCCTCTTTGTGTTAGTCTCCTACTCTACAAACTAAGGGTAATAATAGTACTCATTTCACAGGGTTCCTGCAATAAATGAGTTAATATACATACAGCTATTAAAAAGTACCTGGAATATACACATGTTCAGTAGATGTGAGTTGCTCCAATAATGGTGGTAATAACAAACAATATAGAGGATGATACTTTTGTAAACCTACATACTTGGATTTATTAAAATAGGTGTTTGGGTGAAAACAGATGAGAAAAAAAAAACCTTCCTTCTTCCCTATATAAAATGTATTTTTGTACAGTTATGATAAGGAATTACATTTTAAGATTTTGGTTTTTCTGTGCAGACTGATCCCAACCTAAAGCTCATATACACAGAATGTCTAAGGGTTTGTGGCAACTGGTTGGCAGAAACTTGTTTAGAAAATCCTGCAGTTATTATGCAGACCTATCTAGAAAAGGTAAGACTTTTGAGCAACCTTTAAGATAGTTGTTTGGCATGAATACACTTGGTCTTTTATCAATGGCAAATAAAAGTATGATTTCACTTTTGCTTTGGCTCTGATAACTTTCAGGTCAAAATAAGGCAGAAAATTACAACAAAAGAAGCATATTTTGGAAGTAAATCCCCAGATGTGTCTTCTACCTCCCCATTAACAACTACTCTTTCAAGGGTTGTTTCTGACAGTGTCTCCTTTCATTTATCTACAAATATAGCTGGTGATGGAAGATGCAAATCAGCTTTCATTCATTTATAGCCCCATCACCCTCATACATCTGAGTGTTACAAAATCCTTTGTTTTTCCACAATTTTTTACAAATATGAACTGTTTTGGTTATTTCTGCACTGCCAAAGTTGTTTGAGATATGAAGAAAATACTGTACTTCATATAATTTAGTTTACATATGTTAAACTTTAGTGTAACTGGGAATTTAATTAAGTGATCATCTAGATGCACTCAGTATCTGTAAATACAGATGGCTTATGTTTTCTTGAAGGCAGTGGAAGTTGCTGGAAATTACAATGGAGAAAACAATGAGCTCAGAAATGGAAAAATGAAGGCATTTCTGTCATTAGCACGGTTTTCAGATACTCAGTACCAGAGAATCGAAAACTACATGAAATCATCGGAATTTGAGAACAAGCAAGCTCTCCTAAAAAGGGCCAAAGAGGAAGTGGGCCTTCTTAGGGAACATAAAATTCAGACCAACAGGTAACATTTTTGATGTTCGCCATTTTACTGAGTGAATGTTAGTGTAAGAAAATGTAACTTGATCTTATTTTTATCTGATGGCTTAGAGCACGAAACCTTGGCTTAAGTACATTTAGATGCTTTGGCTCTAAAGTAGTTAGTCCAAACCTAGATCAATATGTAGGACTTTGACATACTTCTTTTTTGAAGAATTCTTGCTCTGGTGCTGAGCTTATTGTAGAGTATATAGATTTTATTTTTTTGTTGCTCATTTTTGGTTTGTTTGTGTCACTGTTGAAAATAAGATAGTTGTGGAAATTCAATACAGAAGAATTTGCCCATGTAACTAGAGAAGCAAGTTAAGTAAATAGCTTGGCTGCCTAGGATAGCTTTTCAATTTGTTATTTTAACACAAAAGTCAATGTGTTCCTTTTATAATCTTAGAATTTTACTTTTTCTCCTGGAATGGGCACCTGATTTTTAAGTATGTTATATATATTGTGTATGATTTTGGAGTTGTATAAAATGTAATGCTTTGTGTTTTTCCTTAATTATCCAATGCAAGATACACAGTAAAGGTTCAGCGAGAGCTAGAGCTGGATGAATGTGCTCTCCGAGCACTGAAAGAAGATCGTAAACGTTTCTTATGTAAGGCAGTTGAAAATTATATCAATTGCTTGTTGAGTGGAGAAGGGCATGATATGTGGATATTTCGTCTTTGTTCTCTCTGGCTTGAAAATTCTGGCGTTTCCGAAGTCAATGGCATGATGAAGGTAAGTCTTCCTTTGTGGTCTGATACTCTAGTTTAGACATAAGCCAGTCATTGTCATGCTGTATTTTCCTTACTTGGTTCATTGCGGTCTTCCCAAATACGTGATTAGTTCTGGTGAAGCAGGTGTATGTGGAGATGCAGAATTTCTGTGAATCTTTTCCTCTGTTTTTGCAATTCCAACAGGAAATTACCCATAATGTTAGATTGAGGGATTTGGAAAGCAAGAAAAATGTGGTTGCAAGCAGGACTTTCTCCTTTTTGCTTTTTCTGAGATTTTTACAATGAATTACTTTGGTAAATGGGAAAGACAGCAATACTTCATTAGATTTTACTTAAAAATCCTAAGTTTTGGCCCTCCCTGGTGGCTCAGCGGGTTAAAGGACAGCACTGAGAAGCTAAAGCCACTTCCGCATGAGTTTGATTCCCACCTGCCCCGGAAGTGACCACATGGCGTGGCAGACCTCTCCTGACCCGCCCGCTGCTCCCCTCAGCAGTGTACTTCGTAGATCTGCCTGTTCTGCTCCCCACTCTGTCTCTGGTGAAGCCTCTCGCCGCCCCTGAGCCTCTGGCCTGTACCCCAGTTCTGTATGAATAAATAAATAAATCTTTTAAAAAAAATCTTAAGTTTTATTGATGATACCTGATTTTTTTTTTTTTGAAGATTTATTTATGCATTCAGAACTGGGGTGCAGCCAGAGGTGCAGGGACAGTGAACATTCACCAGAGACATAGTGGTGCAGAACAGGCAGATTGATGAACTACACTGCTGAGAGGAGCAGCAGACAGGAAAAGTCTCCTGTGCCATGTGGGTCACCTCCCTGGCTGAGGATCAAACTTGTGCTGCACTGGCTGCAGAGAGCTTCATAGTGCTGCGCTTTAACCTGTTGTGCTACCAGGGAAGGCCCTGATGATACCTAATTCTCAGGTTAATAAGATACATATTCACAGTCAGTTTGAAGTTTAAAAATAAATTGTTGTCCTAGGTGAAAACAATAAGATTTGTAATGGACACAGCCACTCTCTGCTATGGGAGTCCATTAAGTCCTTTACGTAAGTATAAAAAGAAAAATCATTCTTCCACTTTATTACCCTCTGACTTCACAGAGACAAGATTACAGGAGATCTTCAGATTCACATTGTCCTCCATGAGTTTACTGGCATATAAGCAATGTCAAGTGTCCCAGTTCTGACTCCAGTTTAACTTAGGATCAGTGACAATATCTTAAGATGAATTGCTCTAGAATACCCATTAAAACGATTGGCATGCTCATTAGAGAGATAAGTGATAAAGACAAAAAAGTACTTAGTGAAGTTTTAGTAATAAATTCTAGATGGTTGTTCTAGTAGATGAGCATAAGCATTATCTTAGAATAATTTATTTGCTTAGATATGAAACTATTAGAAATTGCATTGTTTCTTAACTTTCTGTGTTTTTTTTAATGATAGAGAGATGGAATGAAGATTCCATCATATAAATTTTTGCCTCTGATGTACCAATTGGCTGCTAGAATGGGGACCAAGATGATGGGAGGCCTAGGATTTCATGAAGTCCTCAATAACGTAAGTAAACCTGACCAAAAAAACAAAATAAGGACCAAAAGGACCCAGCAACAAGGACCCAGTGGGCTTTCAAAAAAGAACCAGAAGATTCTGGGTTTTTTAATTTGCAGATTAGTAAATTAGGAGAGAAAAATCACTTGGTTTTGTATCAATCACTCTATACCATAGAACATATCTACTGCTGTTCCATTCTTGGAAATGAAATTACAAAAACATTTTAGTCATATTTGTGGTATTACATAAGGGCAAACATAAAGACATCTTTTGTTTCTTCCCACTCCACACAAGTCACTCAATTTCTGTCTTATTCTTTATGTTCCTCTGCGCCTCATATGCATACACTTCATACACTACAGTATCTAAACCAGCAACACATGTTTGAACATTGAAAAATTACACATTTTCTATTTGTTTAAAAGTAATAATTCTTTATTTTTTGACAGCTCATCTCTAGAATTTCAATTGATCACCCCCATCATACTTTGTTTATTATACTGGCCTTAGCAAATGCAAACAAAGATGAATTTCTGACTAAACCGGAAGCAGCAAGAAGGAGTAGAATAACTAAAAGTGCACCTAAACAAAGCTCTCCACTGGATGAGGTATTTGGATTTACCATGCCTACCTTTTTGAATTTTGAGATTCATCCTTTCCCCCAATATTCCTTTAAATCTCAGGGATTTTAAGACTGTTTTGCTGACACTATTCGTTCATAAATCCTTTTATTATTAGCATGCCACCTAAAATCATTTCTGCATATTTCTCAAAGCATGGGAGATACTCACAGTTTCACTCTTTTCTTCCCCAAAATAGCAAATAAAAAATGGACTGGAAAGCTACGCATGTAATTTACTGTTGTGTATTTGAATTATCTTCTTCATAGAGTGACTATTTTGTTTCCTGAGAGACTTAGTCTTTCCATTGTCTAGATATGTGCATAAAGACTGTTGAAATTTTGAATATTCCCTTATATAATGTTTTGTTCTTTATTAATAGGATCGAACTGAGGCTGCCTACAAAATAATACAAACTATCAGAAGTAAGAGACCTCAGATGGTCAAAAGTGTAGAGGCTCTTTGTGATGCTTATATTATATTAGCAAACCTAGATGCCACTCAGTGGAAGATGCAGAGAAGTATGTATCCAAAAGAATGATTGTTGCTTCCTTGCCATATTATACTCTATAGCACTAATTACGAAACTTAATATGTAGATCTGTTTAAAATTGCCAACAGTCTTGTAATTATAGATAAGAACTCCCAAAGATTATGATTACAGATCATCCATAGCATTATCTGATAGCTTCAACATCCCCTATTTTGTCACTTAATATCTTTCGGTGCAATTGTAACTAACTGCACTAAATCAGTTACTTGATTTTTCTGGGTCATTGTTTGGTTGCAAACACTTGAAGCAGAGAGCTACATAGAGAATTCTACTAAAATAACTGAAAAATTGAGAGTTTTTAGGGTCAAGGTTTTTAAAATGATTTTGATTTTTAAGTGCCCTAGCACTTAAAAATGTAATGGCCTTACAATTTCCTCTGTAAGTGTTAGAATGCCTTGCATGTAATCTATCACTCTTCCTGCTGTGTCTATTCAAATAATTATAAGCTGATGTAGTATTTGGTTATGTGCCTTCACTTGGAAGTATCTCTGTCCCTATACTTTAATAATTGTGTTCCTTTTTCTGTTCAGAATTATATCTTCACTTTTAAATTCTTATTTAGGTGAAAAATGGAACTTCTCATAGCATTTTTTCCTCTAAGTTAACAAAGAATATTGTCACATCCTTTAGTCACATTTAATAATAATATGACTGGAGCATGTGATCTATGTGCTCTACAAACTGAAGGTAATTGTCCTAAGATGCTCTGCTGGGCACCTTGAATGGCATATGGTTTAATGACAATGGCGGGTAACTGCAGATTCTTATGTAAGCCCTGCTAACTGTTCTTTGCTCTGACCATGAGCACATTGTCTCCCAGGCTCTGGGTCTTCATTCAGGCAGGACCAGAACCACATGTTAGCTTCTGTTGGGCCTATGGCATCTGCTGAATTGCTTGCTTTACTTTTAATTTTGTTTCTACATTTGCACTTAACACTAAAACCTCTTCATTTTAAATACAGAAGGCATTAACATTCCAGCAGACCAGCCAATCACTAAACTCAGGAATTTAGAAGATGTTATTGTCCCTACTATGGATATTAAGGTAAATTACCCAAAATATGGGTATCAATTTCAAATATTTGTGTTGTGTTTTTTTTTTTTTTTTGACATCCTGCTTTCACATTGAAGGGTAGAACCTACAAAATATTGTATTTGATTAATTAAACTAAATTTTTCTGTATTAAGTTAAACCATTTGAAATCTTTTTTTTGCAATTTCATTTGGACTAAGCTAAACTTTTTCTTTATTAGGTTCCCTTTGCCCAAGTTTTTACATCATTAGAGGCCTCTCCTGCTTTGTTTTCTTTGTTTTCAGTTTTACACCTTCCTTCTTTCTTAGGAAGGAAGTCTAGAGGCTGTTATTTTTATTGACTGGAAGAAAGAGTCAGTGTGTTCTCCCAAGAAAAATACTTTAACTTTGCCAGAAAGTGTTTTAAGTTTTGTGTTTTTTAAAAATTCTGTATTAGATTGTATTGGCTGATGTATACTTGTTTGTTATACAAATATGTTACTACTTTTTGCTATGTTGTAATGATGGATTATTGCTAGAAGTACCACGTGGTCAGGGATATGTGTAATAATAAAGATCATAATCTAGTGTGATTGTTTTAACTACATTATAAATCTCTTGTTCATGGTAGCAGTTTAGTGCTTACTATCTGTAATTGTTTTAGTTGAAATGTAGCTGTATCGTATGGGTTAACTATTATCTTTACAACTATACCAGCAAAGTTATTTAGCTGAATATTTCCTAAAAATGCTAAATTTAGCAGTGCTAAGCTAGAAAACATCTCACCACCCTTTTCTAAAATTTACCTTCTGTTTCTGTGAGGAGACTACTATTTCTTATATGCCCGAACATATACAAAGTTAAGTGTTAAGGTCTTAATCCTGATTTTTCAAAGGTTTACGTGATGACTATTCTAATTTTGTGTGCCCCGGTTTTATAAAGAGATTATTTAGGGGTTAAGTTGTGTTCATTTGCCACCTTTAGCTTTTCTAATGATAAAGAAATAGTAAAGCTCCACTTCTTAACAAATAGCATACTGTTTTTCATTCCTGTGTTTAATATTAAAATTGTTGTATATAATTAATTTTTCTTTAAATGAAAATAGCATTTCTACCACTTATGATCTTGTACTTGTTATTAGGTGGACCCCACAGGAGAATATGGCAACCTCGTGACTGTACAGTCATTTAAAGGAGAATTTCGTTTAGCAGGAGGTTTAAATTTACCAAAAATAATAGACTGTTTGGGCTCTGATGGCAAGGAGAGGCGGCAGCTTGTGAAGGTGAACCTTTCATTGGGTGGGTCTTAGAGGGCTTGTGGGGAAAAGTCAAAACTGAGTGGTAACTGCTATTTTCTTCCTGTTTTATTTGGATCTTTTTTATCCTCAGTAGTTAAAAGTGGAGAAACTTTCAGGATAGAAACACATTATTTTGTAGATGCAGTGTACTTCTCCCCCAATTTTATTTTTTGCATATGTCATTTATTATTTTAAGTTGACCGAAGTAAAAGAACACTTTTAACATTTATACATACACTTGATGGAGTTGACAGTCAGCTTGTTTGTTTGGGAAAAATTCTGGTGATTTTGCTTATTTTCTTGAATAGTTCAAAGTCAAGGTACTTGACTTCGATATCCTGACCCTGGCACTGTGCCAAGTACTATGCACATCCCAAAAGGTGCTGAAGTTCCTCCCTTACTGCTCTCTAGGCCTTGCTGGGGAAGGATTGAGAGAATCTCCACTGGGCCCTGTTTTCTGCCATGTGCCCTCAGGTAGAGTTTCTGTTAGTCTTATCACTGCAGAAGCTAAGGGACATTCTTTTCTCTCAGTTGGACCCAGTGTTACTTATTCTAAGTGTTAGCTTATTCTAAATGAAAGAATAGCAGTAGATCTTAAATATTTAAGAGACTCTTATAAGGAGCACAAATGCTTAGATTGGTTTTTGAGACCTTTTGCTACCCTCAGATGAGTCAGTAGGTGATTTTCTAATGAGAAAATGAACTATACATGGTTCTTCTGAAGGGCCGTGATGACCTGAGACAAGATGCCGTGATGCAGCAGGTTTTCCAGATGTGTAATACTTTACTCCAGAGAAACACCGAAACCAGGAAGAGGAAACTGACTATCTGCACATACAAGGTAACTCGGTTATACCGCTGCTGCTCCACCAAGTACACACATAGAAAGATGCTATTATTTAGAGCAGAGTCAGCAAATGTTGGCTGTGAAGGACCAGTAATAAATAATTTTGATTTTGTGGGCCGCCTATCTGTTGCATCTCTCTCTTTTTTTCCCCCCACAATCCTTTAGACCCAAAGACCCATTCTCTGCTCATAGGCTATACAGAGTGGGTTTATGGATTGTCAGCCTCTGATTTCAACAATATTACTTTACATGTTTTTTTTTAAAAGGGTTCTTTAATATTAATTGTAGTTCGGTGTTTCTTAGAGTCAACTGAAGTAGTTTTCTATTACTTTAGCCCATTTTTCCTATTTTCTGATATAAAAGTGCTCTTAAGAAGGTAATACTGATTTGACAAAGATTGTAGTTTATAAAGTAGGGTTTTTATATTTAAAATTTGTTAGTTTTTTAGCTAGGTAATACATTTGGATGGTTTAAAAATCCAAACAATTAGAAAAGGTTTATAAAGAAAACCTTTTCTCATTCTCATACCTGCCAACCTCATTCTCTTACTCCCCCTGTAAGCCCCATTTTCATTTGATTCCTATTTTATGCAAATAGGATATATGAGTGTATTTCCCAACACTTCAGTTTCTTAGAGAAACACATTATATATGTGTGTGTATATATGTAAACTCAACTTTATGGGAATCATTTTTTTTTTAATGATTTATTTATTGATGCATACAGAACTGGGGTACAGGCCAGATGTGCAGGGGTGGTGAGAGGATTCACCAAAGAGAGTGGGGAGCAGAGCAGGCAGATCAACGAAGTACACTGCTGAGGGGAGCAGCGGGCGGGTCAGGAGAGGTCTGCCATGCCATGTGGTCACCTCCGGGGCAGGCGGGGATCAAACTCATGCTGAAGTGGCTTTAGCCTCTTAGTGCTGTGCTTTAACTGCCAGGGAGGGCCCAGGGAATCTTTTTTTTTTTCTTTTTTAAGAGCTATATATGTTTATATTCAAGTCCTTATGACATACAAAGGGCATTCAGATTGCTTGTAGTCTTCTGCTTTTGCAAACAGTATTGTACTGTAGTAACTTTGAACTCAGACTGTTTTATATCTATGGTGAATCTGTGGGAGGAGACTTCCAAAAGTTGGTTTGATGGGTCATAAAGAAACAATCTTTAGACAGTAGAGAAGCTCTTACGGTAGTCCTGTAGCTTACTCTTAACCTGCAATAAAGTAATACCAACAAGTGTTTATTTTCTCTAACAAGGTAGTTCTTAGTCTAGAGGTAGCCTAACCATCATTTAAGACTAGTTTGAAAAACACCTCTTTTACATTAGGTAAGAAGTAACTTAACATGAATAAATTGCTTAGGCACAGTGTTAACAAGAAGTATCCGTATCCGAGAGTTCATGAAAAAAGTTACAAAAATATAACCAAAGTAAGAATAAAGGAAAACTAGGATAAAAAAGAGGTAGCATGTCTTAAATAGGAAAACACTGAAAATGCCAGTTCCTTTCAAATTATGAAATCTAATCATTTTTTTTCTAACTTGGAAAATGATCTAAAAAGTTTGTCTTGAAAAATGTCTTGATGGGAATGACTAATATATCCTTGAAAAAGATAGGCAAGAATGCATTTTATCCAATTGTACTAAAATAAGTAGTTAAGTTTTAGTAATAAAGATGGTGTTGTTATGGCATAAAAATAGATCAAACAGCATCAGTAGCCTTAAAGCAGGTATCTGTGTGTATATTTATAAGAAGTCAACATAGCACTATGACTCTCTAAAAGTTCCTGACTAAGCCTAAAAATGGTGCTATCTCTGGTATGAGATTGTAGGTAACATCTGCGTTTTTATCTATTTCATGTTTCCAAAATACTTTTTTATTATAAAAATAGTTGTTAAATTGAAAAACAAAATGGTTAGGGGAATGGGAAAAATAGTGTTATCTTCCAAAATTTCAATTATAATTGAAAACAGAAGTTTAAGTTTGAGCTTCTTAACTGTCTTCAGAAGCAAAATATAAAGTTCATTTGTTGGTTAGGGGTAACACATATTATTTGTTTAGTGGATAAACAGGGCTTATTTGTAATCATTTTGTATACTATGTATGTTTATAATATGTCAGTATTTTCTAAATTGCCAGCAAAATTGCTCACTTTATGTTTAGGAATGCATTTCCTCTTAGTGAAGCTATTAAGAATACTTGTACTCTAAGTTATTAAAGTATATTAAAATTGACAGTTTATTCAGTATTTTTCAAAGTGAAATTCTTCAAATTGGATTGATAATACAAGTTAAAAAGCAGAGTAACTCCTTTTAAAAGGAAACACACTAGGTATGATTTAATCATAGATGAAGCTGCATATCCTTAACTTCAGAGAGAACTGACCATTCGTGCAATTAAGGAGCAGGTCTCAGAAGTCTAATAAGCGGCAGGCTGGAAAATCTTATTTAAACCTAAATTTATCTTCAGTTGGTTCCCTGCCAATAACTTTTTCTCTGAATAAAGACAAAAAAAATGTTTGATCTTGACTTTGAATGATTATCAGATGCTCTTTCATGCCCTTCTGTAATGAAAGGTAATTAAATCTATAACTTCAGGTGGTTCCTCTGTCTCAGCGAAGTGGCGTTCTGGAATGGTGCACAGGAACTGTCCCTATTGGTGAATTTCTTGTTAACAATGAGGATGGTGCCCACAAAAGATACAGGCCAAATGATTTCAGTGCTTATCAATGCCAAAAGAAAATGATGGTGAGTTTCTCTCAAAATTATGTCATTCCAAGATGATTACAAGCTTATTAAAGGTGACTTCTTAAAATCATAGAATACAAAAAGTATGGATCTCATCAGGTGTCAGTGATTCTAAGTAAAGAAAATAATCTCATCAGAATGAAAGTGTATATGAGTGAAAAGGGGAGGTTATATGTTATACTAACATGTCAGCTGCTGTCAGATGAGAAATTTAACATTATTCAATGTATGCCAGTTTGATTCTACTTTAGGGTAATCTAAATCTTTCTAAACATTTAAAATTTTATTTATGTATCTGTTTACATTATTGTTCATTTTAAAACATGTTTACCACCCCCTCCCCCCACATCACCC